AAAAGAGTCGCATGACAGGGTTGGCATGAGGGAGAGAGTTGGGGGCCGAAGACTTGTAGGGTTGGGTAGGTGGAGTTGGATAGTCTTCCCATTCTTTGAAATCTTCGGAATAGTGGGTCTCCTAGTCTTCAGGGTTATAAGGTTCCCAATCATCTGAGTCTCCAACTTCTTCCATGGTAATTGCACGTGTGGGCTTCGGTAGGGGCCCAAGTTGAGTTACCTTTGGGTTATGGAGGTCTACAGGGATTTGGATCGGCTCTAGTCGAAGCTCCGAGATACGGTGCCTACAGTCCCTGTAAACCTTAGCTGGGGCGTCAGGTCGATCTTTTGGCGGGGGAATGTAGAGAATTCTCGACTTGGTTGTCTGTGGATGAAGATGGCCCTTGCCTTTGTCAGGCCTAGTTTGTATGGGAGCGCTATGACGGGAGATGAGTGGTTGGTTCAGTTGGGTGTGCTCAACATCCTGGATGAGGTCCTGCTGAGTGAGGTGGTGGCGAGTGCCCTCCAAATTGCGCTTCAGGGCTCGGCAGTCGTGCTCCAGTTCCACATTTTTGGTGTGAAGGTGTTCGTAGTTCTCTGACATCTTGGCGACACTGGCGCGGAGGCGCTCCACCTCCGCCTGGAGATCCCTCTCTGCCGAATGTTTCTTTCGGGAGGAATCCCCACGAGGGGTGTGATGCTGGGTATCAGGGCTGGCCTCGCTCTGCATAGTAGAGTGTGGGGTGACGAAGAGGCGACGGGGCTTGATAAGGGAAGAAGCCAGCAGAGCTAGTTGAGGGGGTTGGGATTCAGAGGTTGATTCCCACAGACGGCGCCAAACTGTTGATGCTCTTTTTGGGAGGGTCAACTTAGGATGGGGAATGCAGGGTCTTCAGCAGGGAAGAAGGTGAGGACCTTCGGTAACTGAGAAACCTGCAGAAGACAATAGGAAGAAGCAGTCGTTAAGCTTCGGACACAGGTGTGGTGCCTGCCGAAGGCTCTCCGATGCTTATGTAAGCTATTTGTGGTAATTTTGGCAGAGTAATAGTAAAATGTGAGAAAATAGTTACCCTTTTTTACTTGGGCACTGTTCCCTATTTATAGGGAAGTGAAAACGGAAGCTTTGCACAAAGTTTCGATGTGGGACTTCGTGCAAACTGTCGTGGAGGTGACACGTGTCATGGCTCTAGGATCTGTAGTTAAGAGCTTCGGCAGGCGTTGTACCGCTTCGGAAGGGGGGCCTTCCTTCGGTAGGTTAAGAAAGGGATGATATCGCTCATCTTCTAAGAGATTGCCTGTGTGCTTTGGTGCTGAATATGCTCGATTGATTACGGCATAAACAAGGGTGTATTCGGGGTATTTTTGGTAGTTAAATAGAGTGTACTTAGTGAATTTTACATTTTGATTTATATATTAGGGTGTATCTAGATCTTAAGGTGTACTCAATTAATTTTAAAGTTCGTTTAGCGACACTCTAAATTAAAGCCCCATTTTATGAAATGAACCCACTGAAACTAAGAGATAGGTCATAAATATGACCCAGATGATGATGATTCTTCTTAGATCTTTTTCAGCACAAAAGTTTTAATGCTATGACGAGAAGACCGTGGGTGGTATTTCTACTTTTCTCTTCTTTATGGTATGAATAGACAAAGTCATTGAATACGACACGTATATGATTTGTTTCATCGAATTCCATACAGGCTTTATATGCGTGTTGAGTTGTTGATAGGGTGAAAGTGTAAAGAAAAATACAAAACGGTCTTGACTCTAAATATAATTGACACTTGCAAAGTGGTTGCGCTAGAAAAATATAGGCTTTTTATCACAAAACGTCCCTGACGTTTGCGAAACTATCAGATTGCATCCTTAAGGTTTTTTTGTATCACAAATGGTCCCTAACGTTAATATGGGTGCTCTTAAATAGTCCCTCCGTCAAAAAATCTGTTAAATCCCTATTTTATGAGGGATATAATCGTCAAATCAATCCCTTTGACCTCTTCAATGCCTTAGACCTATTTGCCACCAATTTGGAACCATTTCCCTCCATTTCTTATTGGAATTGGCGGGCAACTAAAGCTGCTGTTCATTTTCACATGCTAAAAGCGCTAAAAATGAAAGGGAATAACAAAAACAAATTGGACTAGTTAGTATAAATGAGAGCAGCTCTTATGTTTTTGAATCTTCGACTTAATCGTATGCCTTATTTCTGACCTTTAGCCATTGTTCTTTTCTTACTCTTACTACCCCTATAGAGTTAAAGCTCAATGTAGTGTTGTTGCTATAACCAAATACATTTGAACTTCTTTTGCAGGGGGTTCAGTTTCATCCTGAAAGTATCATAACTTCTGAAGGCAAGACAATTGTCCGTAACTTTGTTAAATTGATAGAGAAACGAGAGTCCGAATCTGAGAATTACAGGCCTGGTTTATCTGCAGATTCTACACAACGTAATGTAATGTGCCAATAGCTTTCAGAAAGTAAAACTAAATAAATAAATGAAGAACCATCACATGCCTTATTTCAAATGTGTTATGTTTCTTCTTGGGAAATACACGGCTTTGCCCTTGGCTCCAATGTTTTATTCAACAATGCCCTTTTTTAAAACTCATTCAAAAATATCCTCTATAAAAGCTCCCTATTGGCCTAGTATCATTTTTATCACTTGTTTTGGTCATGTGAAATTGGTCTCTGCTACTGCTCTCTCTCTCTCTCTAAATTTTGCTTTCTTCTTCTTCTTCTTCTATGCACTGCTATCTCTAAGATGACAACCCCAATTGCTTCCTTTTTTGTTTCTTCTTTTCTTCTCTGATATGTTCTATCTAAAATGAAATCCCAATTTTGCATATCCTCTCTCTCTCTCTCTCTCTCTCTCTCTCTCTCTCTCTCTCTCTCTCTCTCTCATTGATTCCTAGCCCTAATTCCCAATTCTCCATGTTCTTCTAGGTCCAAAGACCTCATCCACACCATTAGCCACCGCAAGCACAACCACCGAGTTTGAAAATCCAATTTGTAATATTTGTTCTTGAAATGGGTGGATTGGCATTGACTTTAAATTTTTGTTTGAAACAGAAGCATTTATTTGTCTGAAACCTATCAAAAACTTTCCAAGACAAACTTGAAAACTTCTTCTTTTCCTAGGTCCAAAGACCCATCTTCCTCATCCACACCATTAGCCATCGCAAGCACCACCAACAAATTTGCAAACCCAATTTGTAATATTTGTTCTTGAAATGGGTGGATTGGCATTGACTTTAAACTTTTGTTTGAAACATAAGCATTTATTTGCCTGAAACCCAACAAAAACTTTCCAAGACAGACTTGAAAAAAAAAAGTGATACGACAACAATAAAATAGCAATACAGGGCTAATACGATGACAATAATAAGACAATAAAAAAAAAACTTAGAAATTTCATATTCATTGCGTGTATATTGCTTGTTTATTGCAATAAACATGTTCAGCAAGATAAGTCTAATACAAGCTCTCTCCCTTCGTGTGTATTGCTTGTTTATTGCGTGTGTATTGCTTATTTATTGGATGCATATTGCATGTTTATTGCTTGTTTATTGCATGTGTATTGCTTGTTTATTGCAAACCTCACCAAAGAACCCAAAAAGAATCAACTGCGAGTTGGAAGAGATAACTAAGAGAAGAGGAGCTACAAGTCAGACCTCACCAAAAAACACAAAATTTGTTGCACAATCCCAAGACAAACTGAGAAATATTCATTGCATAATCCCAAAATTTTGTAAACAAGCTTCAAGTATAATATTCCTCAAAAAGTTCTTGTATAATCCCACTAAAATAACATTCTCTACACGAGCTAAAAATATTAATTCTAAACCTAGAGAGATGAGAGGATATCATAGAGCAACGACTCTGAAGAAAAAAACCTAAGTGAATGATGAGCAATAAACTATCAATAGAGAGTTTTTATAAGGGACATTTGTGATTGAGTATCAAAATAAAAGCACTAGTGAATAAATTGGGTGAGCCAGGATAAAGCCGCGTATTTCCCTTCTTTCTTTGCCAACTTCATGGGTCAGATAAACTTTATTTTATAATATGACTTGCACTTCATATATTTCAAAAATCTTTCAACCAAATGCAAGGTCGACAATATCTTTTGGGCAGCTGTTAACAATAAATACTAGAGCTTTGCTTTTTTCTTTTTTCTTTTTTAATTGGGGGTAACAACCAGAAACACAAAAACTACATAAACTTGTCGAAACAAACCGAGTTCTAGGAACTCCTAACAAATCCTCAACTAATTTAGAGCCAAGCCTACTGAATTAACTGCAGGGCTTTGGTTTCCTAAATTAACTGCAGGGCTTTGGTTTCTTCTACTAAGTGTTTAAAGAAAACTTTCGACACAGACCATTCAGCTCTGCCTATGCAGAAGGGAGGGGGGAGACGGCTGTTGCCTCGCCTTTACAAAGTTCTTAAAATGAATGGATATATACAGGGCATCTTTTTATTGTTTATCAACAATTACAAAAAAAAATAAAAAAATTCTATTATTGTTTATCAGGAATCTGATGAAAAGATGATACCATAGAAAAGTAATGTTTTAGTATCTAACTATACCAACTATCCGTCGCATTACTATAAACAAAATATCTCTATCAGACAAAATACTCCTAAAGACTTACCCTTTTACCTTACCCTAAATGAAAAGAACGAAATGCAAATGAAACTAGCCCCCACAAAATGCACTGGTACACTTATTGGGAGCAAGAAAGTGCAATCTGTTTAAGCCAGAATTCGAAAACACAGATCAGCATACAATAAAACTGAACAAAGCCCCAAATGAAATGAACGAAACGCAAGTAAAACTAGCCACCACAAAATGCACTGGTACACTTATTGGGAGAAAGAAAGTGCAATCTGTTTAAGCCAGAATCCGAAAACACAGATCAGCATACAACAAAACTGAACAAAACCACAATCCCGCAAATACCTCAGGTTTGAATCCTAAGCAAACTATTGTTGCATCTATGAATATGACAATATCCATATTGTAGTTCACTAAAATCCCAAAAGAAAAAACCCCCCACCTCACTGTATTTGCTCACTCACCAACCCAGGAACAAAAGTTAGGTGGTCAAGAACATAAAAATAGTCCTGGCACATGAGATCAAGTTAAAGTTACAGATCGAATTCTATGATTTTAATTCTAACCTCAAGTCATACTGAAGTATCATAATGGACCAGAAATCTTACATGGCTGTGCCCGGAGCAGCAAGTCCTACATTGCGAAAATACATTTAAGAATGTAATATTCTCCCATAAACTTGTATTCTGTTGATGAAAACATCAGATAAATTACAAAACCTAGCTTCTTACACATGACTGAGTAGTCAAAAATCAACGAGACTCCCAATCCTTCAATTTCTTGCTTCCTTTGGGTTTTGCAATAGGCGCGTTCATTCCTGCCATTTTAGCATTATACTTCGCTCGAAGAGGATCATTGTATGTCCATCTGAAATACAGAAAACGCTAAAATAAATGTGTGTTTGGCAAAGAATTTAGGGACTGTTTTTGTTAGTAATCAAATAAAACACATTCAGATGTACATAGCTTGGAGTTGAAGATTAAACGAGGGCCAAAGTGTATCCCATTACTGATGATACAGTTATATTCCTCAAAATACCTATAAGGTATTCCAAGCCACTTCCTTTACCGAAAAGGGGAAAAAAAACCTACCGAAAAATTCATCAGAATTTGTCTGGTATGTTCGCCTATTTACATCTCAACTTTTGTTCTCCCTCAAACAAAATTCACACCAATTCAATATCTATTCATACCATAAGACAGCTCCCCTCAGTCCCTCTGTGGAACCTTAACTTTCTATACTAAGAAATCCAAGTGGCACAACCAAAGAAAAATACTTTTACTGACATACAGAACACATCTAAAACATATAGATATAAAAATGAAAGTAACAAAATAGAAAAGAACAATAACTATTCCCATGTTAAAGTTAAACCACCAATGCTTTGTTCCAAAACTTTAAATTATTCCTATGACCACAACAATATCAATGCAGTTTTTCTATACATTGTTGAAGAATTTTTAGCTTATTATCCTAAAATTTTGACTCAAACTATGGCTATTCTTTTTTTTTTTTCCCTGTCATTCCATTTACATAGTAAGGATTCCTGATCATGTGACAGAAACTCAAAGGCGATGATTATAGGGCTCCAAAATAATAAACGTGCAATACATCTATAAATTGCATTAACTACAGAAAAATACTGACTCTCAATTATCTGGTCCTCGGTAGGTTGATGGCATCATTTATCATACTTTGAACTTCACTCTTGAAACATATAAAATTACCAAACCTCTGAACATGTATAGGTGAATGAAGTTACATGGGCTTCTAGATCAAAGTAAAAGACAGTTTTGGTTAGAAATACTTGTTACCATAACCAATATTCTTTTTTATTCTCTAATGCGTTTTATACATCAAACTTTACTTATTTATCAATGAATATAACCTACTCGTTTAATGATTATATCTAACTAAAGCTAATAGACATACATGCTAAGAAATCGCCATACTGTTATTGGACCGCACATAGTTTTCTACAAGACTAATGCTCATCAAGTGCTTTACGTGAATGTCTTCATATCTTACCATCTCCAACCCATTAAATCTAATGGTTTGACTGAGAAATTCAGTAAGATCAGCCCTTCAGTCCTTATTTACTTCAAAGAAAATGTGGGTAAACGGACACAAACTCTGAATTCCCCTTTAGAAAACAAGAAATATAATAGTGCTTGTGCTGTTTAATGAATTCAACACAAAACTAAAATAGGTACACAAAATAGTTAATTCATGAAATAAATTGAACTTACGGATTGTTCCAATCAGTGGTATCCTCATTGACAAGATGCGTCCATTTCGTCCTTCCACTACGACCAAAATGTTTGACCTGCATGACCTTGGGCAATATGGTTTTGTCCATCTTATCTTCCCCAGTTGGGGAAGAGAAATCACGTGTGTAAATTCCATCTGTTCCAACAGTTGCAGCATAGTCATCAGGTTCTGACTGGAAGAAAGCACCCTTGTGGTAATATTTCTGCATAAATCTCCACTTCTGCTTTGGTCGTGGTGCAGCTTTCGGATGCTTCCTCTCCCACTCCCTCCTCTCTTCCTCTGTCATGTTTCTAACCCTTTCAATCTCTTCCTTCTCCTTTATCATTGCTTCCCGGTCCTCCCTATCCCTCTTGATCCTGGCAATCTCTCTTGCCTTCCAAGTTTCATACTCCTCTGCCTCGTTTACTTCATCATCAGTATCAATATCAGCAATATTTGCTTCCTGTTCCAAACCCTTCTGAATCTCTTCGTCCTTCCGAATCTCCTCAACCACAATCTGCTTTGTCTCTCTCTTCCTTTCCTCCAAATTCCTCTTCCTTGATTCCTCAAGGGCTCGTTCTTCAGCCTCAAGTCGCTCACGTTCAGCAATAGTATCTCTCTCTGCCTTGGGCACAAAGACAGGCTTCAGCATAACCATACCAGTAAGCTCTTCTTCTGAGTCAGTATCATACTCAGACTCCTCTTCCTCCTCTTCCTTTACTTCTTCCTCGTCTTCCGACAGGAGTGGAGCTTCTTCTTGCTCCCTTTGACGCAACTTCTCCTTGATCCTTCTTCTTCTTTCCTCCAAAGCATCTGCGTCATCTTCCTCCGCTTCTAACCCTTCCTGCCTCTTGGCTTCTTCTTCAATTGTTGAAACAATCTCAGCCTGCCGGATACGCCTATGATCAGCTCGAACATCCTCACGATTATCTATCCTGCTCTCAGCCAAACGGCGCAGTCTAGGATCATCTTTTCTAACAACATCAGAATATTCGTCAGTGGGGAAAGCTTTCTCCAATGAAGCAGCTGCGGACATCCTAATATCCCCATCTTCATCGGCATCATCTGCCCACTCGGGAGCTTTTCCAGGCCAATACCTTTTAACTTTTGTTTGCCCAATTTTACCTCTGAGCTTATCCCTGACTGCAATCACAGTATCACTAACACCTGCTGTTACCGACATTGTTGCGCCCTATAGACACCCTCTAAATACTGGGTGAAATACCCTATACTCTTCCCTCTTTCAACTCAATGTTCAATCCAAATTTCTTATACCTTATCTGGTTCAGCAACTGCTCAAACAAAAAACAAGACAAATTTTAGCCCAAGAAAGGGGGCAAATTCATAAACCAGAAATATCCATAATCATCATATGGAAAATTATAGAAATTTTGGGTGTGAATTCAGCGGGAGGGCCTAGAAATTTTGTAAGACCCAGCCTCTTCTTCTAGAAAGAGGCTAGGTTTTTTCCACACCGATTTCGACGGCAGCATAAGAAGAAAGAGAGATATCTAACCTTCTGCTCCACGACTGGTCGAAATGCCTTTAGCGTTTTTCTCTTCTGCAATCTGCTTTAAATTTTGTTTTTGGTTTTTATCACTCGCTTGTTTTTTTTATCACTTGGGCCATCCGAATGGGGTTGTTATTTGGGGCTCAACCATATATGTAGCCCAACCAACCCAGACCCGGATACAACCATACAGCCCAGCGGGCCCATTCTCGCATCAGCCGTTGCTGCAATTTCCATTGGGATCCAACGGCTCTCATTTAAATAAAAAAAATAGATTTTGGGTGGTTGATTCCAATCTAAATTATAAAATTCATGGTGGAGAATATCAAATTTGCCTCTGCCAACGTCTTACTCTTTTATTTGGCATCTTCATTCAATTTCAACCATTGCACGGCGCCCACCAAAGTTGAGCACTCCATTTCTTATAAAGCTGAGTGCTTCTGCTTCTGCTTCTCCCAGACAGAGAGAGAAACAGAGAGAGAAATGGAGGATGTGGTTATAGTTGGGGCAGGGATTGCAGGGTTGGCGACTGCACTGGCGCTGAAGAGAGCTGGAGTTGAAGCGTTGGTGTTGGAGAGATCGGAAGGCCTCAGAGCCACGGGCGCAGCTTTAACACTTTTCCCCAACGCTTGGGTTGCCCTTGATGCCTTGGGCATTTCTCAAAACCTCGCTTCCCTTTATGCCCCAATCAAAAAGTAATTCTTTTAGCCCATCGATCTTTCTCGCTCATCGTTGTGTTCTGTTTTTTGTTTTTGTATTCTCAATGATAAACTTTTTTTTCTATCTAATTATCTAGACAATTAAGAGCAGTGATAAAATGTCAAATATAGCCTTTAGCCTTATGAACAATAAATATATTGTATAATGAATAGTTTAACTGTTGAAATCCTCTAAATTTAATGATCTTCGCTTCTCGGGAACAACAAAAACCATCATCTCGCTCTTTCCTTTTTTCGGTGCCATTGGTTCATTACCAGTTTTCTTAGCTTCTTCTCTTTTCCCGAAGAGGGATGTCAAGCAGCTCGTTCGATTCCGCAAGTGCCACACATGCCTGCTTGTCGAGGATTACTCTTTTCTTTTGTGCCTACCAAGAAAAAAAATGGGTAAACCAATGTAATCATGACATTGCTATGGTACAGAAGCGACTTCCCTCAGACGACCAAACTTACCAATACTAAAGGTGTACTAATCAATGAACTCCCGAAACTTACTTTCTTTTCTGACAAAATAAACCAAGCCTAACCACATGGGCCTTATTCTGCGCATACGAAGAAATAAGAACATGTTTTCAAAGACCTCAACATTGACAGAAAGGGGAAGAAAAGGGGGTAAGAATAAACTTTTTTAGGTGTACCTATACTAAAGTAAGTAGTCGGCCTAACCTTTGGTTCCCGTAACCATAACCCCCTTATCCTCTTTTGTTGTAGGGTTCCATTCTGTAGTGAGAATGTCAAAGGCACCTTCATTATAAGTATCAAGACGTGATCTCCTTTCTTGCCTTAAGCCTGGAGACCAACGTATACATTTTTCTTAGAATAATTGCTCCCACATATACATGCATTCGTATGTGCCATCATTCTTATGTGTTTATTGACAGAATTTTGGTATAATATGTTGTTTACGGGAATTTCGTGACGCAAAGGAATTTTTCTTATTTGTTTTTCGTGGCCCTAATTCTAAATGATTTGGTTTCCTATATGTTGACTACAAGTTTTACATTTTGTACTTCTTTCCAATGTATGATGTGATATTGTTCCTATATTGTTTAATACTGTCGTCTTCAACTTTAACATTATTCTGCATATATTGTATAGACAAAGATAGAGATTCAACTTTTTGATGTATTTATATTTGGTGCTTATATCATCAGGGGATATGTAACCAACCTGGATACTGGAAAAATCCAAGGCGTTTCTTTCGTCGCCTCCAATGGGTAGGTCTTGTTTTTTTGTTCACTTTGTACACCTGCTGGAATATATTAGGAATGCAGAT